TCCCAGCCACACCCATGGCTACTTGACTTCTTGTTTTAAAGGAGCGTTATTGGGTAAGCACACGGCTACAATTTCTACAAAACATACAAAAAAACATACCATACAAATCATTACAGTTGAAACTATAAAGATCTACAGCAGTATCATTGATTAATGTATGTAAAAAGCTATAGAGTTGATCGGTAACTGGGCTACTTGTTTGAGTGTTTTCGAGGGTTATTTTCAAGGAAAAGGATGCAATTTAATTTTTTTTTCTTATTAAAATTACTTGTCTACAACTTTAAAATTCGATTTTTAATGTTTATTTATCTGTATTTTTCAAATTCTTTTAATACTTTTTTTTTGTAGTGAAGTAATGCACATTTTCGATTGCACGTTTCGGTTTTAAATATTATATTTGGATATTTTTAAAAGAATTATGGTAGAAAACGGTGTTGTGTCCGACTATAAATCATTTTAGCCTATCATCTATCATTGTCTAACCGTTTTAATCTGGAATTCTTTTGCCGAGTTATAAATTATAATAGCAGTTTAGAAAAATCACATCAATTTTAACTTTTCATATTCTTCATGATACAAAATGACCGCTTTTGTTTTCTCCTACACAAAAATCTGTATATGATTTATTTACATAAATATATTTAAATGCAGAATTTACTCGATGCAGGATATTTTTATATACCTAACTATTTATAACAGGGCTTAATAGGCGTGAGTAAAATCTCCCTTTAACTAAATTACATACGCACGCTTAAATCTCGTGTAATTGGATATTGTATATAAAAATATACTTCTGGAATAATAGTTTATTTTGTATTATTATAGTCTGTCTGAAAATTATTTACACGTGAAAGAATTAAGTACCAGGCATTCAATATTAATGAAACATAAAATGAAGTATAACAAATTGTAGCCTAGTTTTTATCAGAATATCTTTTTGAACTAATTAGATTTCTGATGTAAAGTACTCAATGAAATCAAAACTATAATGGTTTTTGAAAATTATAATTAGATTTACAGTTTTTAAACTACAGAATAAAAATTGTTATTTGAAATTATGATTGTGATCAATTTTATCAAAGCTATATTGGTTTTCGTTTAAAATTCAGTTAAATTATTTATTAAGAAAACAAAATATTTGTCAATATTATAGAAATAAACTGAAAAATAGTCTGTATTCAGTCCTTCAGGAAAATTAGTGCAAATTGAATATGCCTTAGCAGCAGTTGCAGCTGGAGCACCTTCTGTGGGAATTAAAGGTAAATTCAACTCAACACTAAAAATAATTCTGATTTTATTCTAATAAGTCTTAAAATAACTCAAGTTTTGTATGAAAATCAAATTTTATTGTTGATAGCATCATGTTATATACTATCAAATCTTTAAGCTAGAATTTCATTTTTAAGTCATACAATTGGATAAATATAGGACTTATCATACTTAGTTTTGCTGTCTAAAAGAACAGCAAAACTAATCACATAGAATTGTCATTGCAGAATGCATTTCAGATCAAGACTTCTCTTCAGCTACTGACAATCTGTTAAAATACTTATCCTGAGTAAAGTCACATGAAAATTAAATAAATTTAGTATAATATTAACATATGAAAAAGTAATGAAGAAAAATTTGTTCTAAATTTATAAAATTGTGTGATTTAAGAAGTACAACAATCATTTAGGACAAGAAGCTTTAAGCTTCTTGTATGGTATTATTAAATAAACAAAATTAGATTAAATAAGAAAAGAATGATTAGCAAGCATTTGATAATTCTTAATCTTAAGTTAGAGTTTCAGTTTTAATTAAAAATGAAACTCTAACTTAAGATTTGATTTCAAAATTTAGTACAGTAATACTCCGAACTTACTCAATAGGTGGGATCGAGCGGTAACTGCGTAAGTCGAATTCGTGTAAGTTGAGGTATAGTTTCGCATATAAATACATACAAATAATTTTTAATTGGGACCAGAGACTAAAGAAAACAATAATTTAGAAAAAAAATGTTTAATAAAATCTTAGATAATACATATGTATAACAAATTAGGCCTATATTATTTTACAGTTTTTCACATTTACTTGATTATCACGCCATAATTTTAACATTGTTTCCATCTCAGCGATAATTCCGTGACATTTACGAATGATGCTTGAATTTAAAGATTGAGCATTTTTCACAGCTTAAGAATTTTTTCTTTGCCTTTTATAATTGTTCTGACCGACAATTCTGGTAGATCAAACTTCTTTGCCAATTCACAAATTTTCATTTTTGTATCGAAGTCTTTAATAATGGGTACGTTCGTAAAGTCAAACGAGTTAAACGCGTTAGTAACGAATCGTTCGAAAAGTCTAACGAAATAGGAATAACGATGAC